ATTGACTGTAGACATCATCTCAGTAGATCAACTGCGCAAGGGTCAGCAGTCAACCGAGTCAACCGAGTCAACCGAGTCAACCTGTCTACGAAGGTCGTCTCAGAAGGTAAAGGACACCTGGTTCTGAGGCCTTGAACGAAAAAGAATGCACTCCTGGTTTCTAACGAAAACGAATGAACCTCCTAAGACTACACCAAAAAAGGGAAATGTGTGGGTTCCGGATGTTTCCGGGTTGCGTCTATTGCAGGAAAACACGGCTTTTCTTGTTCTCTAAGTTCGTGTATGTTGTGCAGGGAATCTCTTCTTCACCCGGGTCCTTCTTGATGCGCTGCCGAATTAGCTGAACCACCTGGCATGTGAACAGATCACGTTCCTCGCGTTCATGGAAGAGCCACATCAAATCTAGAGCGACCTTGCTTGGGAATGCAAGGAATTGAGAATGTGGCTGCTGACCAGGTCTACGATATCGTAACCAGCCTAGAGTCTAGAGTCTAAAGGCTCACTGAATTCTTGGCATCGATCGCCGATCGCTTGGACCAAAGATGAATGAGATCTACAAACCAGGTCAATGCTGGAATCTGTCGACATGAGGTTTTCTATCGATGCATGATGACATAAAGCATTATAAAGCTTGTGATGTTTGTGAGCACTCCGAATGGTCTGGTGTTGTAACCAGCATGTTGACGACCATGTTGTTGGCCGGCACTAAAGGTGGAAAGGCAAACATCTGCCATCAAACCTGCCACTGATCAAGAAGACTCCCTGGCCCAGACATCACCAGGCTCATCACCAGGGGGGCCTCACGGGCCCAGGTGAGGCCGACAAACTCTGCCCAGGCACGGCACGGTCCGTTCGGGCCGCCAGGGTGTGCATCTTCCTCTCCACGTCACGCTTCAGATCCTCATCTCGATGAGGAGATGGAGGTCCCCAGGCACGGGAGTTGCGGCAGAGCTGTTGATTCTCCAATAGTTTTTTGTGGCTGTTTTTAGTGCCTCCCAGAACCAACCCTAGAAATCTTGAGGCATCCCAAACATGCAGAATCTGCTCCGAAGAACACACCACAGAAACCTCTGGTGTCAGCCAGATTCTCACTGTCACACCTCTTTCCCAATCCCACGGCCGGGTTCGAGCTGTCCAACCCCACAACATTGGAGCTTTTGGGCACATCAATACCACCGTTTCTCGGGCTTCCTCATGTTCCAGGCCTCCCCGTGGCTGTGGTCCCAGACCCAATTGGGCTTCCGCGGGGCGATGGCCAACACGGCGTCGGTATCCTGCGGAATTCATCGTTCCATCGAAGCAACAACAGAGTCCAAGCGAACGCGCCCAAGACTACTCTGCATGTTCGCCAAGTCTTTGGCCAACCGTCTCTTTCTCATTTTCGTTGTCCTCTCTCATCCGACTCGCACTTACACTGACTCACTTCATCCTCGCACCCACGTCCACAGCCCACCTCGGCGGCCGCGATGGCTTCCTGGATCTCCTTGTCGATCTCCGCCTACGGTCGCGACTTCGACGCGGTCAGAGCAGCGACGCGGTCGACGCGGTCGGACCTGAAAAGTCTGGGCAGGTGGGCAGCTCCTGCCAGGTCCTACCAGCTGTCCCCAGTGCTTTTCTTGCCCATTCCTTGGTCGCAAGTGAAACCCGTCTGCTAGTAGCATGGGGTTTCATAAGGAAACGTGGCAGGCCTGCAGGTCCAATCGACGAAAGTCGTTGATAAATCCTGGCCTCGATATCAGCAGAGGTGATCCTGCAGAACCACCGGCTCAAAAGAATGAGCTGTGATGTAGTGTTGTGTGTGTGTGTGTGTGTCGCAAAGGTTGCTAGATTGAACACATTTGGAATACGAAATACATCTATATACATACTGGACTTGTGTGTACGGGACGGCCATTGTTGCAAGTCTTGGGTTCATATTTCTTCCTGTCACAACCTCAGATCTGACAGGAGGCCGTCCTGGTGAGGCAAAAATCCCGCAGCTCGGGCCTCGATCGCTGGGCTCCAGAAACCGGCTTTTTCGGGGTCCACCAGGGGAGCACCATGTCGACATGGATCCAACATGGTCCAACACAATAAAAGAAATTTGAAACTTCAGAAGTGTCAGAAACACCGTGGTTCTTCAGCGAGCCACAAACTTATATTGAACTTGAGAGGAGGGAGACACGAAAGGTAGGACAGCGGGAAGAGAAGAGAACGCGAGAGGCAGGAACAAAAATGCATTGTTCGACATGGTGATTTATCCCCTCGGAGGCGACCTTTCGTAAATATATGTTCATATGCACTCTAAATGTTCAAACATATGCTCTCGAAATGTTCAAAAAGGTTCTTAGGAAAACAAACTTGCCCCATGGCTCAGATCATCGGTGAGCATTGAATCGGAACATCATAGGATTTGAACTATCCTGAAACCATAAGAGGCTCACGAAGACCCTCCCCAGGAGAGAATTGACGTGCTTCACAAAACAAACTCTAGGTATGTATCCCCTCGGGGAACACCTATCCTGAAATCATGAGAGGCTCACGAAGACGTTCTCCAGGAGAGAATTGATTTTAGAGGGGGGGAGGGGGGGGGGGTCTGAATTGAGCGATCAATTATTAGACCCGGACGTCCCAACACTTGCTTCGCAAGACAAACTCAAGGTATCCCCTAAAGGGCTACCTTTCGTGATAAGAGCTTTTGAGTCGGAGAAAGTCAACGCATGCATAGGGCGCCTCTTTGATAAACATGCATCGATATCCATCCCGAATCAAAGCCCACAAGTCATCCATCAAATCCTTACCTTCCCGTGCCTTCCTTGCCTTCTCCCTAAACGAGACAAGTTGAGTTTCACGGCGTGAAGGAGAACTATCTCTTCCAAGAGTGCCTGGTAAACCGCCTATCCAATGAATGTTGCTAAGGCCTGGGCGTTCGCGGAATATAGTTCCGGAAACGGATCTGGCGATCATCTGGCAGGTGGACAAGTTGTTCAGTCAAAGCAACTCGGCCAAAGGAAGCAGCATCCTTGTTTTAGCAAAGGGGCTCAGGCGCTCTTGCAAGCTTCATAAGAGCTAGGTCAGACGGTCACTCCAAGACCTACAAATTCGCTACATGCGCCTTTACACGTAGCAGTCTTGTTACATGCAACCTTCGGGCTCCCAAAAACAGGAATAGTCCTTCCAGTCCTCATTTCTACGCATCACAGTCTGGCGCATTTGGGGGTTGAGGTTTGCTGATCCAATGATTCAAAGTCATAGGCTACCCCCCACAACTCGGCCCAGCCAGCCAGCCCCTCCGTGGGCACCTTTCGGCGCCTCCTTCGCCTTCTTTGCTTTCTTCTTGGGCGGCCTGGTATCTCATGGTATCTCATGGAGCTCAAGCAGTATGGGGACATCCCAAGTCATTCCATCTGATCTCTTGGAACTCATCCGGCCCATGCTTGGGATCCCTGCTCGGCGGCTTGCGCCTCGGGAAAGCTTCCAGAAATGATATTGAGACTACATTGAAGCACTGAAGCTTTGCATAAAGCAAAATGTCTAGGCTGCCTGGGAGAGATGCGGCGCACACACTCCTGTCCCACATAACCACAGCCCTTGCCCTACCGGGTACCCAAGCAGAAAAACCTTCTCAACCTCCCAACATGTGACTGATACCTAGATGCTGCATGAAGTTCAGCACATCTCATGTAACTTAACCACTCCCAACCACGGCGGCACCAGTGGCACCAGGCCTCTATGGCCATGGGCGCCCCAGTGGACGGCCGAAGTGTGACCCCGGCTGTGGAGCCACCGGCGATCGCGGCGATGGCGGATTGAAAAGTGGCGCGTCGATCACAAACCGGAGGCACGACGAGCGGAGACGAGAATTGGCAAAGGATCTTGTAGGAGCCACCGGCATCCAGTGGGAAAAGCCGCTTGATTACAGCACTGATGGCGGTGAGTGCTTTCAATTTCTGGGGCAACCCGTGCAGAACGTGGCCACCCTCCTCGGGCTCGAAAACTTTTTGAAGGCCTACGACATCCTAGATAAGGTAGGCGCTGCCAAGATCAGCAACCACGAGTCCTTCGAATCCTGGAAGCTTTCAATCCCAATGCCCAGCTCTGACGATGGACAGGTGTGTCCGTATTTTTCCTAGCAGATCCTGCTGATTTCAAAAAGGCACTTGAGGGAATTCTTTTTTGGCGAGAAAGCTGCGAGCTTGCAAGATGCAACCGTATTCATCCTCGTTTGTCAGGACGTCTTGGTAGATTTCTTCGCCCCGTGGTGCAGCCGTCCTGTTCAAAGACGAAAAAGCGAATATCAAGAACAAGAGCAACTAGTTAACTAAGCTGCTTCGTTCTGTTTCAGGGACATTCATTACGTAGGTTTCCAGCCAGGTGTGGCCACTGCCGAAAATTCGAGCCACAGTACAAGCAGCTGGCGAAGTTTGGAAACCCAAAACTACAGAAATGACGTAGTAAGAAGAAGCTACTAGCTGCTCCTAGCTTTACTACTAGGAGCAAGGACGCTACTAGGGGCTCCTGGCCTTACTACTAGGAGCAAGGACGCTACTACGAGGAGCAAGGACGCTACTAGGGGCTCCTGGCCTTACTACTAGGAGCAATGTTCGCTACTAGGAGCAAATGAAGTATTTTGTTCCTAGTAGCGAACATTGCTCCTAGTAGTACGGCCAGGAGCCCCTAGTAGGGTCCTTGCTCCTAGTAGCGATGCCAGGAGCCCCGAACGTAGCATCTTTGTTCCTAGGGGAAACGACTCTCAGGCTTTGTCCGTTTTGACACTTGGCCTTCTTCTCGCCACATTCAGTGGGACCTGAGGAGACTAAAACATGTGAAGTCCCTGAGAATTGCAAAGATTGATGCGACACGGAATGAGGCGCATTTTTTTGCCAGACTTGAGCACCCTTGGAATAAAGCGGTCTTGTGGAATGACAGCACCTTTTGGGACTGTTTTTTACTTGACCAGTCTTAATTTGTTGCTTTCACATAAGTAACTTGCATTTTGTGTGTAAAGTGTGCGTGTTTTCTCTAGCTTTGCTTTGGTGCATTCTTTCACAATTTTTGGTCGGTCTGAGGTTTAATAAAGGATTTAAGTGAGACTTTGGGAGGTTGCGGCGGTGGTGGTGGTAGTTCAGAGGTCGTGACTATCGTCGTCATCATCGTTGTAGTGGAAGCAGTACTAGGAGAACCAGAATTAGTAGTTGGAGCAGCAGCTGCAGCTGTTTGGAGACTCAGACATGAGACTCCTTTAAGACGTGTCCTTGCAAGTAGTATATAGTTACTACTGTTTGGATACTTAGACCCCGTACTTTACACAAAAGACTGTTTGCTAGTTGTAGCGAAGGCTTACTCCCAGCAAGGGAACCTGCAGAATAGCCACCACAGAACTCCGGAAACCCTATAAAGGGCATCGCTACTAGGAGCAAGGATGCTACTAGGGGCTCCTGGCCTTACTACTAGGAGCAAGAAGCTACTAGGAACAAGAAATAAATATAACTTTTGAAGATCGCTTGACTGCCAACACATGCAGAAAACGCAGAGCCGTTCCTCAACCCGCATCGTGGTTTCCACCTCTGTCGCCCTTCCTTCTTGACCCAAACAAGGATGAGCTTCAGGTTCTTCACACCTTGAAAGTCCAAATCCATTCTCAAAGGAGCCGATCCCCCCCAAAATCCGAGCCTCACAGCTGAAGAAGTTGGGGATGCCTTCAGCCTGGACTGAGCACTAGGCGTGCTGAGATAGGGAGAGACCTTCCGCAACACGGAGAGCAAAAATATACTGTGAAAGTTTTGTGCCGGGCTCCCAACAAAATTTCTCCCATGATAGAAGAAAGTCGGGTGTCCAACCCTTCTGGAAGGGGGTGTTGTTATGGATGCCACAATGCTTCCAACCTTGATATACTTTTTGTCATGGTCCAATTCATAGCATGGCTTTCCAGCTCAGTTCACACAAGCTTGGTCCAGCACCTAGCCTTCGCCGCTTCCTCCAACTCCTGCGTCTTCGAGGCCAGGTCAAAGAGCCAGTTGTTTTTACACACTGTCTTCCTCCAAGTCAACCAAATTGCTGTACATGAAGGGTAACTTGAAACATCTTGAAACCAGGCCGCCACATCTACAGCACAAAAAGCAATTATGATGAGACCAGAAGTGGTGTTCAGACTGAGCCCTTGCAAAAGGAAACAAAATAGAAAACGTATGGGACGTCTCAACTGCAGCTCCTGGAAGCTGAAGCGACGCAGCACCTCAGGTGATGTTGGCAGGCTCTGTATAACAAGGGCTTTGGGTGTGTACCTCAACATCTTCAGAACAGCAAACCACACGCATGAAGCAACATGTTTCAGGAATATGTTGTTGTTTTTTTAGTGCCGTCCCTTCTTTCCTTGGAATGGTCCTTACTGGAACATCTGCTGCGTGCGTGGGAAGGCCAAGAGCCCTGCTGTCCTCTGCTGCGGCATCACCCTAAAGGGCAAATCACTCTGAAAAGAAACAAACCCTTGCTTTCAGAAGCTGTGGGTTTATATATTTGTATTTATTCAGAGCGGAACAACTCAAGCCCAGCTTGTGGAGAAAGCACCCAGCCTTTCACTGTGGCGCCTTTTTTCTGCAGGCTCCTGGGGCTGTGTTGCCCTTCGTACATGCACCTTCTCACACACATGGGCAAGCCTACGAAATGGCTGATGGATCAGCCCGTCCGACTCCATCGGACGAGTGTTCTCCGCCTGTCCGCCCGTCCGACGTCCGACGAAACGGGATGATCGATCCCAATCTCCCCTCCTCGGGAGCATCAGAGTTGCCATCTCGATGCTCCTGCAAAGCTGACTGGCCTCCCACCTTCCAAGCCCTCCCAACTACAAAGCCAAAGAAGTCAAAGCCCAGCCCAAGACAAACGTGTTTGTTGCGGACTTGCAGGCCGAGTTCCCGGTTGCAAAACATGAAAACAACCTGCCCTCCAGAAGTGGTCACCCTTGGGCTCTGCAATTTTCCAGGAAAGCTCCGTATATAGTACAGTACCTATTCACGAAGTCTTCAAGTCCTAAGTCGTTCCCTGCTCGAATTAAACCTCCAGAGTGTCCCTCAATCCTCCATGCTGGGGGTATCACTGCAAAACACCTGGCATCACAGCATCCACAGTGCTTCCTCTACTGCGAAGTCGCATTCCAGTAGAGCCAGCCGCCCCAGCTTCTCTTTGGGTGCCTGTCACAGCCGTGCACGCACCACGAGAAGGAGAACCCGATGCACCGCATCACAATAACATTCAAAACAGGAAGCCGTTGTATCAGTGTGAGGCAGCTTTCACAGCAAGCCCGTTGTTTCCCATGTGTTTGTTTGATGTCTTTTGGTAGGCGGTTGGGTGGCTGACCAGGTGGTATCTGAACGGCACCTTACCAAACTGACCACCTCAACAGTTCCAGCCTTGTTCTGAGGCCTGGCAGGTTTCAAAAACATCCATCTGATGGAGGAAGTGCAAGTGGCATGGAGGAAGAACAATACACACCCGGCTTAAGCCCCAGACAGCAAAGTAGAAGGGGTCCCGTATGCCCCGCACATCAAATGAAACCACTTCGGCATCTTCGGAAAAACAAGAAATTGGTGTCTTGAGCAACTGTCGTTGATCTGGTCTATGTGTTCCTACCCTTTTCACCCGCTGACGTTCGCCACATCGGGTGGGGAAGTCCTTGGGACTGGGGGTCGAGGTCGAAACACCAGAACCATACGTGGGGTCTTATGAAGAAGAAAGGCTCCTCACATGCCCCGCTCAAATACTGCAACAGCCCCCACTGGGGTCCTTCCAGGACTTCCCTAAATGAGCTCCTGTGAGCAAATTGAGCAAGTCAACTCTTCTGATCATGAACAGTGCCTCTTCAAGCTCTTAACAAGGCATGTCAAATCTTTGGGTTGTTACAGCCAGGCCAGTCAACCACTTCAAAGATTGTGACAGTTGGCTCGGAGGCACACACGTGCCCGCGAACGCCACCCGCGAATGCCCCGGACATCACTTGAGCATCCACAATGTCCATCTTCAAGAAAGCCTGTGGTGCACGCAGGGCGCGCTGCGCCGTGCACACCACTATAACAAGCCCCTTCATCTATCAGGCGGTCCAATGGCACGACACCCACAACATCGCTCTCTCAGAAGTTCCAGGGATAGCTGTCTAGATAGCTTTGGATCGTGCAATCCAAGGCTCTCAGCTGAGCCAGACGGCGATGACGGTGATGTCATCACAGCAATCTTCCTTGGCAAACTTGTTCGCTCACGTGCCGTCAACATGGCGCGACATGGTGACGAAAAGCTGGTGTGACTGGGAGTTTTGTCTTGTCGTATGGTCAAAATCCGAGCCATCCTGAAAACCCTTCCCAGGATGGTCTGAAAGAAAGGAGCTGATTCGAGACCTGGGAAAGCTAGCGCAACCAGCTGGTGTTTTGCGATGAAATCCATGTTCTTCTCAACATCATTGCTAGTTCCACTTGCCTCCTTTTCCTCCCTTCCTTAGGCCACCTGCAAAAGGCGCCCTTTCAGGTTCGGTGTGAGTAGCTCCGGGGGTTTCCACTTCCTTTCGGGGCCCACTGAGCGGCTACAGTCACTGCGACCCGGGCACTGCTTCTGCCAGCCACTGCTTTCGGGACTCTGCAGACAACTTCCTCAGATCCGGATCTCCCTCCAAAGATCCCGGTCAGCTTCGGTGGATGAGGCACCGCCCCAGTCTAAAGCCTAAACCAATGCAATGGAAGCCCTGGCAAACCGCAGCTTGCCACAACACAGGTACCACTCGACTGGGTTAATCTCTTCTTTCGGGGATCAACAACTCGGGCAGAGCATTGGTTTGCCTCCTACTGCACAACTTTCAATGTCCGAAACGCTCACAGTGCAAACTTCTAGAGCAAGATAGTATTACTGTAGATAGAACAAGGCCACCCTCCAACTGCAGTCATCTCAACTCATTGCTTAGCATCAACACGGCCTCGGCCGCTTTCTTGCGCCCAGCCTTGCAGCGGTAAATGTGGAGGTTCCAAAGCACAATCAATAACTCTTAATTATACTGATACTGCATGATCTGTAAAGTATCAAAGCGACCACAGTAAGACCTCGCATCTGGGTAGTAAGCTGACCTAAGCTCAATTTGGAAAGGTCTGATCTAGAGTATAGCCTACAAATGGTCCAAGTCAAAAGTGTTGTCTCAGTGAGGTACCTCCACTCTGAACCAACAAGATCCCTGCTCTTTCGCATGTGCCGTCATCAAAAAACACACACTTTCAACTGGGGAAACGGCATCATTTCAATGTAGGATCTCTTTTCTTGAGAAAAAGAATGCGTCCTCTTTCGCAAAGTGTCGGCCTGTGCCACAATGTTCAGGGCGTCTCCGTTGCTGAGGAACTCCCACACGCCGTCGGAGCAGCACAGCAACAGATCGTCCTTCTGAAAATCCAAGACCTCCACGCTAGGCCTCAGCGGCCGATATGGCAAACCCAACCCTCTTTCAAACTCGATCAAATGGCAGAACGCGTCCCACAAGAAGATTGGAACTGTACAAAATCTTTGGACATCGGGATTCTCTCTACGTCTCTCAACATGTCTCGAAAGCTGTTCTCTTACGATTCGGAATTCAGATCCGCGGGATTCGGCCAGGCTTCTCATGAATGACACCCGCCATGTGCCCAGCCAAATCGCCCACAGAGCGCGACATTGCCAAGCCCGGAATCTCTTTGCCTTTGGCAAAGACCCGATACGGCACATCCTCAGGCCAAGCGATACAGCCGAAGAACTGCATACAACTGCACAACAACTGTATACAAGACCGACAGCAGTCATTTTTCAACGGATGTCGTTGGTTGGCACATCTCAGCAACACATTCTGTACATCTCGAGCCCACTTGTCCGTCCAGAACGGGTCTAATGCTCCGTGAACTACCACGCAAGCTTGACCTATCGGACTAAATGCGCCTCATGCGGCAAAGATTGCCTTGGCCTTGGCGTAGAGTGCCTTGCCCTGAGCCGTCTTTCCATTCACGGCACAGAAGCCCTTGATGCCCAGCTCCTTCCTGGCCTGCATCACAGCAGTGTTCCATGCAGAGATGTATTTGTAGGCCTTCTTGCCAGCAGCATTCTGCAACTTCGACACGACCTTGCCCCTCTTGTTCTTCATGAGATCGGTTTTGGCATGGCCTGATGCGGTTTTCTCCTTGTTCCCCTTGAAGACGGACACCTTTGCCAGCTTGCCTCGTGCAATCTTGCTCACGGCCTTCTTCTTCATGACCTTCATAGTTGTAGGCTTTGCGGCCTTTTTCATGGACTTCATTGCTGACTTCATCACTGACTTCTTCATGGGAAGGGCCATGTTGAGGCAACAAAGA